CGCACAAGTGGTAAAACGAAACCGTCAACGGTTCTAATGTCTAGCTATGGAGAGTGACCACGCAATCATATAAAACTAGAGATTTAAATAAGGTCTTACATCAATTCTATCAGCTTTCAGTGCTGCTCAATGATCACAAGGTTCAACCTGTTTTTTATTCTTATCAATTACATAAAACTGAATATATATAATTTAATAAATATTTAGAAATTTTATATTGATTAAAATTATTTAATATATTTTATTAGAAAATTAATATATTATGTCATTATAATTTAATGATTAGATTAATAAAAAAACATATCTTGTACAAAATTAATAACTTGGCTGTAATACACTAATGATTGGTTATACACGTGTTTATGTTAAATAGATTTTTTTATTTTTAATATAAAGTAAATATATAGCTTAGAATGATTAAAAAAATATATCAAAACAATATAATCCTTTATCAAGTGATTTAAGTATTTTACTTTTTAGTGAAAAGAAGCGATGATAAAATTTTAAAATCCTACTTCTTGATTTAATAAAGAAATTAGATTTTTAATCTGACATGTAATTTAGATATTGGGTGTATTTATTTTTGTCTTTTACTATAGCAGCGAAAGGAATGTTAAGAAGTCATAAGACCTCATATGTGCAGATTTACATATCCAGAGAAAGGAAACAAGAATAGAGAGAATAAACAAGATGCACAAAATGGTAGAAGCCAAGCAGTTTAATCGTTATATCACCAAATTTTCATCCTAAGGAACCAAATTGAAAAAGACATGGATTCACAATAAAGCAAACTGAAGATGGCATGAAACTACATTCATTAACTTGATGGATAATTGAAAAGAAAAACTCAACTACCAAATACGAACGAAACACAAAAAATACATATATGCGTTGAACTTATCTTCCACCTTATACCAATCTAAAATATAGAAAACCAAAATCAAAACTTGGAAGTGCCCATCAACTAACGATGACACAAATAAAATTATAGGTTTTGTCATATAATCCGTTTAGAAGATATTTGTATTGCCTCGTTGCTTTCAGTTTAGCAATTGTGATAGTTCATCAGTAGTCGATCGTGCTTTTTGTGATGCATATTTCTCTATCCAGTTTTAAGTGATTTCGTATTCCAAAATTGCATGAATATATATATATATACTCCTTTTGTTTTAATTAATCATTTAAAGTGGTGACATAAAAATTTAAAAATGTATTTAATTATTTTTGTATTTAAATATTATGAAATTTTCTATTATAACTAATTTAAATTTTTTTTACATAATAAATAAATAAAGAAAGAAGATAGAGAATAGATTTTGAGATAATAATTATCTTAATAAAATTGAAAGAAAATAAATTAATTCTACCTAAAAATTGTAAAATGATTATATTTTAAGAAATATAAAATTAAGATAGAAACTATTTTTTAGAATAAGAAAGAGTAACCTGAATAAAAATGTCAAGTTCACACCACAAATGTCATTAAATGAGTTTTTCAAATATTTGAATAGTGAAATTAGTTTTTTATAATTTAATTTTTCATCATTAGTTTTTTAAAAATATTTTGCTATCAAATTATGCTTTAAAAATTAAATTTATCAACAAATTAGACCTATAAAGATTCTCACCATATTAGTCTCAAAAGAAGGATAAAATTTTTTTCACATAATGTTAAATTGATTTTTTGAGAAAAATATCTTAAAATTTTATTAAATCCTTATAAAAAATTCAGTGGTGACAAAAAAAATTAATTTAATTGAAATTTTTTTAAAGATATAATGTGATAATAAGTCAATGCTTGAAGGATAAATTTTGTGGTACAAATTTTTAAAAGACCTATTTAGTGATTCTTTATTTTTAAAATGAAGATTATTTTCTATATAATATTTGTATTAATGCTAATATTATAACACAAATGATATTTAGGATGCATGTATACAACTTATTTAAACAATTATTTAATAATAAGCTCTTTTTTTTATAGTATTGTTATCCTTTAAATTTAATGAACTTTATTTGAATAAATTGAATAAAAAACTTATTTTAATAAAATATATAAAAAAAATTATTGAAGTTAAAAATATATTATAAAATTCATGACTAATTTTTTAGAAGTTATTCATAAATTTTTCTAAATAAGCTATTAATTAACAATGTTGGTATATTTATTTAATTTAAAAAGTAAAATATCAATCAAATTTGAATATATTATTTGTAATTCATCTAAAGTGAAAACAGATTCTCTGATTATTACTATATTAAATTTAACTATTAAATATATATTATTATAATATAAATTTTTATTAAATAATATTTTTAATAAATTTTAACGATCAGATTAAACACTACACGTCTTTAGTGAGTTTTCACATAGGAGAATCTTAATTCAATCTAAAGTATTGCTTGAATTACAGATTAATTCTAATAAAAAAATGAGTTATGTAGATAGAATTATGACAATCTTCAAAATTAAAAGGATGAATTATAAAGTTTTAAACACTTATAGACATGTTTCTTTTCCAAAATTATGAAATAAGAGCACCGTAAAATATCAATATTAACAAACATTGAAATAATACTTGTACATTAAAGCATGCAAAATTTAGGTTATATAATTGCATGCAATTATAAGTGTATATTAACTTATTAAATTTTTAATAACAATAAAATTACAACAATGTTTATATTTAATGTGTATATAAATAAAATATAGTATATCATCGATATATAATATGTGTTTGTAAAATGATACATTACGATAATAATAAATATAAATAGGTATATTAATATCTTAAAAAATTATTAAAATTAATAGTAAAAGTATTAATAAAAATAAGTAACATGAATGAATATAAGGAATACGTCCTCACAAATTCAAGTATTTTGGCTTGGAGAATACAAATAGTCTTTTAATCAAACCTATCCAAGTTTCACATTTTGCAGTGTTTATAAACAGTGAAATAAAAACCGTAATATTATCTCTTTAAAGGTATAATAATGAGCAACGATAACTAAGAATTTTATTTTTCTTTTATAGAATAACTATTTGTTCAAATAATTTAAAAAAAATTGAACGAATGAGAGTTAGCTGCAAATAATTGATTGCCATATATGTATTTGCAAATTTCATACTTCGTGTTGATTAATCTTATCCTCCCTCTCTCTGTAAGTATTATAATCGATGATGAAGATTTTATATTTAAGTAAAAACAATTCTTAATTGTTTATGTATGGCAATACATTTAAGCTTAACTCTAGAAATAATATTTGTAAAACTTATTCTGTTTAATAATTTTATTTTAGATTTGAATTTCCTCAATTTAATTCTCATATTAAAACATTTATTATAAATAGATCAGTTTATTATAAAATTTACATAAAATATTAAAAACTAATTGATAAATATAATAGACTTAATATATTTAATTTGATACATATAACTAATGCGATAATACACACATATCGGTTTTATTTGTTGAAATTATTTAAAAGGTTATTTTGATTGATCGAAGAAGAAAAATATGAAGAAATAAGGATATACAGTATTCTGTTGTGTGAAAATCATGGTGGGTAAATGAAAATTCACTGCGTGCACATCAATATATATATATATAAATAAACATTTAGTAATCTTACTATTAAGCTTTAATTTTGAAATGAACGAGGGAAATTTGCTTTCTTTTTTCTCCTTTTATTTTTTCACATAAAGTGTAGACGTAGAAAATATGAGTTTGAGGAATAAATTATTTTGTACATATGATTAGGAGGGATAGTGATCAGTTAATTATTTCAAGAAAGAAAACATCGTAAGAAAACCATCGCTTATTTTCATTTTCAGTAAGTCACTGGTTTGACGAGTAACGTGGCGTATCATGTAAATCAAATGAAAACTGAAAAACATGATATACGAAAAGTAAAAACCACCTAACATTCGTACTCCTTGGTTCTCCAAGTCAAAATTCCAAACTCTATTATACATAGTTTTCCTGGAAAAAGATATAACAAAAATGAGAATTGTTAACCTAGTTATACATTTCAAACTCTACTTTTACATCAAATCGGATGCACTTGTTCAAACTATAAGAGCTACTAATATTCAAGAAACGTCCCAAAACCACACCAACGAATGTTTTTGAATGCATGTGCTACCACCAGTATTTCATCTCTACTGTTACACGTAATATTAGAGACCTTTTTCACAAGCTCAAAATTGTCATTTTCCTACGTTATATTTCAAGGCGAACTTTTTGGCACCTTCGGGAACGGAGTATTTAATTAGATAATTTTTTTTTGTTTAAAAGTATTAATTATTAATGTACCCTATCATTTAATTCAATGTAATTTCATGTAACTTTTAACAAAAAACTTGTTTTAAATTTTTAATTAGTATCTTTTGGACGTTGATTAACAGTACCTTTTAATCAATTCATTTAGTCAATGTTCTCTAGTTCCCCTTTTTTTTCTTCTTTTTCTTATAATTTGTTTTCAATCGTTATTAGAGGATTTGGTATATGTATATGTCAGTCGAAATAAACTAACCAAACTATAAGATTGTTCTTGAGAAGACTAAACTAGCAGACACGTATGTTTTCGAGGTGAAGAAAGACATGGAGATATGATGATGGTTTTTGCATACTAGTGTAATGACTAAGCATTTTAATTTCAAATTAATATTAAATCATCAAGTCTCACTCAGTCTTGGTTGGTTGTACAGTATATTATACTTTTTTTTCTTCAGAAAAGAATTTATTTTATATGCACATACATATATGTAGAATAAATTCATATGAAAAACAACATGAGTAGCACATGTAATCTCCTTTACCCTGCCTCGATGATTTAATAATACATAGCTTTATTTTGCTTTCCTTTTAATCAAGAAAATTAAAAACACGAGACGCATGATCAACTTGTATTAGATATAGTTTAAATCAATTCATATATCTAAAACCAGGGTCCACCAAATGAGTATATAAGGCCCCATAATATCTCGCACACCTTAGCAACACTAAGGGTTGCAATCTAACACCAACTCTCAACTCTCAACTCCCAACACTGAGACACACTATTCATGTTCCCTCCTAGTCTATTAAATCAAGATACCCACACCATGGATTTGCTTCTGCAAGCGAAAACGGCAATGGAACCATTCCATACGACACTCTTGTTCATCATCCCACTTATGTTGTTTCTGTGTTTAGCGTCACGAAGCATTCGCAAAACGGCGCCGTATCCGCCAGGACCAAAAGGGTTACCCATCATAGGCAACATGAACATGATGGACCAGCTCACGCACCGTGGTCTTGCCAACCTAGCAAAGCAATACGGCGGCGTTTTTCACCTCCGAATGGGGTTCCTCCACATGGTTGCAATTTCAAACGCGGAAGCGGCGCGTCAAGTTCTCCAAATCCAAGACAACATCTTCTCTAACCGTCCTGCCACTATAGCCATAAGCTACCTCACTTACGACCGTGCTGACATGGCATTCGCTCACTACGGTCCATTTTGGCGCCAGATGCGTAAGATCTGCGTCATGAAACTCTTCAGTCGCAAACGCGCTGAGTCGTGGCAATCCGTTAGAGACGAAATTGACACCATAATCCGTTCCGTTACGGCGAACGTTGGGAACGCCGTTAACATTGGTGAACTCGTTTTTAATCTTACAAAGAACATTACTTACCGTGCGGCGTTTGGGTCAAATTCAACGGAAGGGCAAGAAGAGTTCATTTCGATACTTCAAGAGTTTTCGAAGCTGTTTGGGGCTTTTAATATTGCGGATTTCATTCCATATCTTGGGTGGGTTGATCCTCAGGGTCTTAAAAATAGACTCGTAAAGGCTCGTGGAGCGTTGGATAGTTTCATTGATAAGATTATTGATGAACATGTGGAGAAAAAGAGGAGTGGCAATAAGAACCATGCCTGTGATGAAGAGAGTGACATGGTTGATGAGTTGTTGAATTTTTACAGCGAAGAGGCTAAGCTGAATAATGAATCTGATGACCTGCAGAACTCAATTAAACTCACCAAGGATAACATCAAAGCCATCATCATGGTAAGAATGTCTCTGTACTTTTCGTTTTTAAATATCACTTGTCTATTCTTACTGCTTCTAACTCTCGTTTCCCTCCTCACTTTTTTTTTTTGGATTGCTATCATATCATATTATGTTTTAGTTCAAACTTATTCTTTTAAAGATTTCCTATCTACTTTTCTATACAGTCGTTATATATTATCTAACTAAAAATTTACATTATATAGTATTTTTATTCTTTTTTATCTTTTTAAAGAAAATATACAAAGAAATATAATATTTTTTTCGATTATTTAATAATTTTTGTAATCTTTAAGTTACCAATTAGTATAAATATTTAATTATTCTACTTAAAATTTATTTATAAACAAAAAATATGTTAATAGAAAAATAACAATTAATATTATCATAAACTTCTACATAAAAATAAAAAGAAACAGATTTTATTTTTTAAAATAAATAAATAAGAAAAAATTTAATATAATAATATATAAAATTATTATTATTTGTTTATTTTATCATTTTTGTATATGAATGTGTCAAAAGAATAATAATATTTCTACTACATATTTAATGTTTTTTGGTCCTTAACATTAATTACTTCACAAATCCTATCTCACACTTTTATATCATGTCTTTCTATCTCTTTCCTTATCATAAAAAATGTTATGTAATTATGAAGTGAGAATAATGTTACTAGTCTTAAATAAATATATCCAAAAAATAAAAGAGGAAAATGAAATTTATCTTCTTTTACAGTATATTTAATCTAATTACAACAATATAAAATATCTTGCTAAAAGTAATGGTTAAAAAATTTAAAATAAAAAACTATGAAAAAAGGCATATTATAAATAAATATTTTTAAAATATTATTTTATTAATTAAGTACCTTAAAGACCTGTTAATATTTGCCTAAGATAAATTGCTGCCGACTAAAGAAAATTGGCGGTTGACTGGTAGTCAGCTTAATTTTCTTTGTACATTATTTATTATTTATTTGGAGACAGGAGTCAAGGCAAGGCAAATTAAAGAGGGGAGAAATTAAATCATTTAAATTGATGGAATGAATTTACGAGTAATAATGACTATCAATTTTACAAATTACAATGGAGCTTAACTATATTATACGAATTATATACATATATATAGTAGTTCCACTCCAATAATGTTTTCTTTGTAAACTCTTATGTCATGATATTTTCTTCTATTAAAGTCAAAATAAATATATAATATAGTTTGATGTAGATGGTATTATTGAAGAAATAAAAGCTGCGCGGACAAATCAATTTTCAAAACCTGTGTTTGAATTTAAAATGATACGAAAATCGTTGGTAGGACACCATAAAAGAATGGAAGAGAAAATAATAGAAATATTATAAATGATATGATATTATAAAAATATACTAATTTATATATATATATATATATATATATATATATATGTATATATAAACATTTTAAGTATATATTATGAATGATACTGAACCATTTTCTGCATCACAATGACTTAGTCCATAGAAAGAGTATTAAAAGGTGCCCCCTAAATATTAAAACAATTTTGATACTATATATCATTTAATGTGTAGGATTACATATTTACAAGTTATTGTTATTTTTTATTTCAATAATAATTTTAATATTATAAGAATGTGACAGATTGCATGATCAATTGCGTTTACTTGGTTCACATCTTTTCTTTACGCTTCCTTACAACTTTTGCAATTTGTTAAAAAAATTATTCTAAATTTTTTTACAACACTTCTTACTAATTTTTTACTTATTAAAAAATAAATATTATTTATATTTTTGAAATATTAAATATTGTTTTCTTTATAAACTCTTTGAAAGATTAATAAAAATATCTTACTCGAGCAAATAGGAAATTGTATTGCTCGCTAAAATATCAGATTTTTTTATTGACACAGGGAGTCAAGAAAGACAAACATTAAGATGAGTGGCGAAAACATGTAGTATAGATATTCAATTAATCAATTTTTTAAAATGTATGTTAAAAGGTATATAATAAGAAATACATTGTTTTTTCATATATGTCTACTAATAAATAATATTTTAATTAAATTATGGGAAGTAATATTATTTAAACAATTATTTTTAACAAAAAATTATTATATATAAATTTTGACTATGGGTTTAAAATACAAATTAAAAATTTGAAAAAAATACTATGTGTGTGAAGTTTTATGTTAATCAATTTTTATAATTAGAAATAGAACAATATTTTACTAATGGTAATAATGGGGAGAATAAATGGTGTTAGCAGTGAAGCCTCAAAGATAGGAAGTTCCCATCCCATTGTTTTTTTACTCTAGTGGGTTGGGGTTGGTGTCAATTCTCTTTCAGTCCATGTCTACACCATATTTTAACTTCAAAAAAGTTAAAAAAGAACCTAACGTAAATTTGAAACAATGAATATGGTAATGGCTAATGAGTAGTGAATTGTAATCGTACTTGTACAATAATTTGCAAATCAAATTTTTCTATTTTTCTTCACACTTTTCTTTCGTTTTTTCTTATATCCCTCCTTGATGGAGGCATTACTGCTAGAAATAAAATAACATAATTGTGATGCAGGACGTCATGTTCGGAGGTACCGAAACGGTGGCATCGGGAATCGAGTGGGCAATGGCAGAGCTAATGAGAAGCCCAGAAGACCTAAAGCGCGTGCAGCAAGAACTCGCTGACGTGGTAGGCTTGGAAAGGCGCGTGGAGGAATCGGACTTCGAGAAGCTCACCTTTCTAAAATGCGCCGTGAAGGAGACACTCCGCCTCCACCCACCGATTCCCCTTCTCCTACACGAGACGGCGGAGGACGCGGCGGTTTGCGGGTACTTTGTGCCGAAGGGGTCGCGCGTGATGATAAACACGTGGGCCATTGGGAGGGACAAGGAGTCGTGGGAGGAGCCTGAAGCGTTCAAGCCATCGCGGTTTCTAAAACCGGGTGTACCCGATTTCAAAGGGAACAACTTTGAGTTCATTCCATTCGGGTCGGGTCGAAGATCCTGCCCCGGAATGCAACTGGGTTTGTACACGCTGGAACTGGCGGTGGCTCTCTTGCTTCATTGCTTCACGTGGGAGTTACCCGATGGGATGAAACCCAGTGAGTTAGACACGAATGACGTGTTTGGACTCACCGCCCCGAGGGCGAGTCGACTCGTTGCCATTCCATCTAAGCGCGTTCTGTGTCCTCTCTAATATTGTGGCACTCAAATCTCAATAATCACAAGTTTATTACAATAATGCCCCAACGAGCTTCACCAAAGTATAACAAAATATGGCGGTGAAGTGCTTTGGACTTTCATTTTATGTTTTTGTTTCTTTGTTATACGTGAATGAATGTTGGAGAAGAACAGAATAATTGTAAAGATAGAAAAGGAGGAGCAAAAAAGAATGTCATGTAATCAATATTAGGTTGGTTACCTTTCTCTATTGATACCCTCTCTTGTCAAATTGATTTTTGATTTATGTGAGAAACCATTTTACGTCGTTGTCGTTGTTGTTCGTTACTTTTTTCGCCTCTGCACACTAGCCTTTTATTTTTATTTTTATAAACTCAACTGTAATTTATTTTTGTCACTTCAAATAATATAAAACATGTTCTTTCCTTTTTATCAATAAATAAATAAATAATGTATTTTAATACTAATTTAAAATTAATTTTAAATATAAACTTTTTAATAAAATTCAAATACTTTTAATTATTTAAAATTAACTTTAAAGATTGATATATTTAGATAAAATAAATAAATAAGTTAATTAATTAATTAATTAAAGACTATAAAGTTGAATGAGATTGTTTAGGTCAAGTAATAAAATTAACGCATGTGAAGTTTTACTTGTATTACGATAAGTTGTCTTTTGTAAAAAATAAAAATATTAATATTTATCTTTTAAAAGTTAAATGTTACTTTAAATAATTTTTAAAAGTTATAAGTTAATTTTATTTTATATTTATTAAGTAATTTTGTAAATTTTTAATTGAACTACAAGTTGCTTTTATTAAATATAAGTATAATCTTCAATTGTTTTAAAGAAAAAGTCTTGCTAATTAATATTCTTGAGACATTGATAAAAGAATTAGAAGAAAATATTTTTTATTATAAAATGTGTTAAATTATATTGAAAACTACATGGAAGTTGTATTTATTATATTTTTTATTTTTATTCCTTAACCGGTGTTTTCAGCTTTATTAACATTTATGTAGAAAAATGTTTGGTAGATATTTATTAAAGTGTTTACCCCTAAAAATGAATTGAAATAAAGGAGAAAAGTGATTAGTGGAAATATTCTGATGTAATTGAAAGTATGAGTATTTGTAGAATGGATTGAGTTGATTGATCTTATCATAAAATTATATATTAGAATAATCATTCTAGATGAATGAATGTTTATTAGTCAAATGGGGTCTGCCTTTGGTTAAGAATAATAAACGCTTAGATATGTTTGGTATGTAAAATTTTCTTTCATTTCTAGAAACTATACTTTTATAGTTATGTTTTATGGAAATTATGATTTTGAAAAAATTTATAGATGCGTTTAATGTTCAAAACATTGAAAATACTTTTGTGAGAAAAATATTTTTTAAACTTTATAGGAATCTTAAATTACCCCTCCTTTTATGAAAATATTTTATCCAAAAATATAATAACGAAATATTATTGAAAATTTGCTTTAATTTTAATTTAGAAATATAACATTTATAATTTATAGATTACGTAATTTACTTCTAGATTGGGATTATCTTTATGAAAAAGTTGGAGTGGGATATGTATGCGTATGCTGAGAAGGATATTGATATATAATAGTAGTGAATTAGTGGTTAATTAAATGATTAAGGAAGAGGAAACTTAGAGAGCGGGGTATATACACGTGTCAAAGAGCAGGAGAAAGCGGTGGCGTTTAGGTGAGATTTTGAGGGGGACGTGAGGCCTATTTCTTGTGTCGAATTCAAAGTTAATATTTTGATGGCGATGGAAAGTAACCATTTTTGTGGGCCCTGCTTTTCTTTCAATGTATGCCTCTCCATCAAGCTAGGGAATTTACCAGACTCACCAAGTTCAAAGGTTTAATATTTTTTAAAACATGATGGTCCAAGTTATAAAAAAATATGTGGCAAGTTTTAAAATCAATATCATATTTTCGTTTGTTATCTCTCTCTCCGTCTGTATATATATATATATATATAATAGCAATTTATGAATAATTTTTTTTAACTACTCTCAAAATTCATTTGAAGTTATTTTAATAAGTTATTCTTAACTTATTTTATGATCAAATTTCTGACTAATTTTTTATATAAAATTTGGTTATTAAATAAGTACTTAATTACACATTTAAACATATTCTGTATAAAAACACTTTTTATCAGGAGAAAATGTAATAATTCTTAAACGAAGTGTAAGAACGTAAAAAAAAGTATATAAAATATCAACAAAGTAACATTATTATCTTAATTTTTTAGATTAAATTTAGAATTAAAAGTTAAGATAATAAATGTAATTTAAGATAATGAACAACCAATAATTAATATATCATTTACGCAGATTGTCTTTTTGGCAAATAACATACAAGAACAAGATAGAATAATCTCATGTCCTATCTTATATTCCATGAATAATTAACTAGTAGGATATGATAAATATATGGTATTATTCTATTTTATCCTTTCTTTGATATATTTTTTTATCTCGTAGAGGGGCTAAGGTAGAAAGTGATAAGATATAATTTTTTTTTTATTTCTCTGTTACTCTATTCATTTGACTTCTACTCTAGTTTATTTTCTCCCACTTTCTTTGTCTTCCCTCCCACTCACTATCTTTTCTTCCTTTTGTCATCTTCTCTTGGTTCATCATCTTTCTTTCACTTTGATTTCTAAAGTTTATTTCCTTATACAAGGTTTATTTTTCTATATGTTAAAAAAAGGTTAATGTTCACTTTTTATTTTAATAGATTTTGAACCTTGTATTAATAGATTGATCTAAGAAAGCTCAAAGAAATAATATTATTGGTTAGACATTTTTCTCTCTTCGACGATTATTGATAAATTTTTACATTTATATATTTTTATTTTTAACTTAAAAAGCTAGTAATGTCCTTTGAACTTAAGCTAAATAATTGCTTAACAACATTGTTTCGTGCTATGAAACCTTAATAAATTTTTATTTGGCCTCCATTTCATGAATCTTTTTCACTTCAGAGAATATGTTATTGAATTAACCTTACATTAGAGGGGCATTCAACATTTATATCTAGGCACTTACTTTCATTTTTCATGATTTTATTATGTTATTTACAAAATCCACTTTTCTTATATTCCAATTTTAAAACAAACGAAAAAAGGTCAAATGTCTTAACTTGACGTTATTTTAACATGGAATATAATTTGCTTAGGAAAGGAACGAAGGAACATGGAATTAGTTAACTAAAAATTGACGTTAGTTATATATATATATATAAGATATATATTATGTTGTATTTTAGGTTTATTATTATGCTTAGCTTTTAAGGTTTATGTTGCTTGTAACCATTTAAATACAAATAAGTATAAAAAGACTCTATCAACAAAAACACGTTAGTTTATAAAATAAGTTCTAATATTTTGTTATGACAGGTGTTTGTTTAATAATACAATTGATTAAATACTTAATTTGATAATCATGAAATTTCATTGTTATAATGAGTTTATTTAGGTGAGGAAAAAAAAATTTCACACAAAGCTGACACTCCTTGAAAGGAAAAATATCAAACCTATTTGCAACAATGATGTTGCAAAATGTTAAATCTTTCTTGCTTATCTTTCCATATCTTTTCCTTGCAAGTATGTAAATAAGCATAGTTTATCCTTTTTCATTAATTGGCTTCTTTTTGTTTAGTTATTTTATTTTATTTTTATTTTTTTTCTTGTTAAGTTTATTATTTATATTAATCAAATTACTAGAAGCTTAAGCAAATTTTTGTCATGACAACAGGAGATAATATAAATAAAAAGCATAATCAAATCATACATATTTAATGTTGGAGGAAATATTTTGAGATAGTTGGTATGTGTTTTTTCATTTTCATGGGAGTTAGTTATTTTGCATTATAGTATTGTAAAAAACATTGTCTTTAGCAAAACCCAATAGATAGAGAAGGTTTAAAAAGAGAATTTTTATAGACATTGATCAATGGAGATGATGTTACACGTGTTGATAAACTTTGCATAGATATTAGGTCATTTCATTTATTATGTTCGATCCTTAGTAATGGAGGTTGGTTAAAAGAGAACAGACTTGTAAATATTAAAGAATAAGTGGCTTTGTTTTTACTTATAGAGTTTTTTTAGGGCATTAGACAGAACACTTATTGAAGTTAATGTGTTAAGCAATTGATAAATCATGATATTATAATAGAAAAGTGATATATCTACCAATGTTCTAGATGTGTGTTCTAAGGATACGAAGTTTGTATTTATTTTTCTTGGATGGAAAGGATCAACATTTGACTCAAGGTTATTGTGGGATGCCATTTCTAGGAAGAATGGTTAAATGGTTCCAACAAATATAAAATTAAGCATGGTACAAAATTTATATAGTAAAAAATGATAAATATAAATATTTAAAATTGATAGATATATTTTATTATAGGTTACTATTATCTTTGTGGAAGCTGGATATATAAATTATGAAGGATTTCTTACTCCATTGCTACCATCACAGGGAATGGAGATATGGATATATATACCATTAAATAAGGAATGAGTGTCTAATACGAGGCATTCTATGGAAAGAAATGTGATAGACTGAATCTTTGGGTTGTTAAAAATGCATTGGAATATACTTAGAAGTTTTTATTTTAACTAATCAAAATTTAAAATTGTATTATAATTACTCGTTGCCTTTTACACAATCTTATTTGAAGAGAAATGTCAACTGACCCAAAAGAAATACAATTTGAAGAAGAATTGGAAGCACAGTTGCACAAGCATATCTTATTAATAAAATTGAGACTAGTGAGACATAGTCAACTAGGAGGGATGATTTAGCAATGCAAATATGGAATGAATGACTTGCTAATAGACACATAAATTGAATATTTTGTAGCTTGATTTAGTTGTTGTTATTATTATTATTATTATTATTTTGGTATTATGTTTAGTTTGTGTTTTATTTGCCTTTTGTATTTGTCATAAATATTTAGAACGTTTGTGTAGTTGTACTAAATTTCATAATTTGGAGTATTGTTTGTTCAATGAAATTCTTATATCTTGATTTTTAGTGGGACATGGCATTAAAATTTGGTTGTGAGATATGAATGGATTCTAAGAACATGCAACAAAATAACAAGAGAAAGAGAGATCCTAAACAATGATTTAAAAATGAAGATAAAGTCTTTCTTAATATCTTGATTTAAGTTGTTAACCAAGATTAGCGATCTGATTATGGTCCATTCAAAGCACATATATTAAGAGCGACAAAAACAAAAATAGAGTAACAATTTTTTGGT